CTAATATTAGAAATTTAATTAATGACTATATATGAAAAATAATATGTTAATTACAAAATAATATAAATAATAATAAAATAATGAAAAAGTGAAATAAAGAGTGTGAATAATAATTTTCCAAATTTGGAGAACTACGATTCACCTCTCTATAAATAGAGAATAGAGAGTCATGTAAAGAATGGTTGTAAGTCTATTCTTTATTTTATTCTTCAAATATAGAGAATGAAGAGTAAAACAGAGATAAGTCAGAGATAGTCTTACCTAGGGGTGTCAAAAGAATATGAAGAACTGATCGAACCTAATCGAATCGAACCAATTTATGCTATTGTTTCAATAAAATTGTGGACTTTTATTTAAGTGTATAACCGTCCCGAACAACTGGAATGGTCTTTTTAATTTATGAAAAGAACCGAAAAAGTCTCGACCCGAACCGAATAACCTTACATGTATGTAAACATATTTTATATATTAATAATATGTTAATTTTAATATATAAATATATTTTTAAATATTTTTCAAATATAAATATAACTTAGGTCCTAGGCCTCTGGTGACTAGACGACTTTGGGTCTTTACTATTTAATTTGCCTTTATTTAATTAGGTTGAAATTAAAATATACTGTAATAGATATTCTATCAAACAATACAACAAAATTTATCCAAACACTCCTATTAAATATTTAAGATCAAACAATGCGATAATAAAGTTTTATATTCTTATCTTTTTGGGGAAGAATTAAAATGCTTCTTCAAGAACATATTTGTGAAAGAAATATATTAATAGTGGTATATGTTGAGGTGATATTTTAAAAGAAAAATAAATCAAAAGTTAATTGTACTGATATTTAAGAGAAATCGATATGATTGAAATGGTTTTAAAAAAATATATAACTTTGGTTATATAGAATAAAATACCCAAAACTGAAATTGTATAATTTTTAAAAAATAACCGATTGAACCTATTTTTATCTTACCATACTTGGGCACTAAGAAATAGGCCAATGGATCATTGCAGTTGTCAATCGGCTGACAAGTCAAAGACGCAAAGAGAAAGGAGTACTTCATATCATCACATTTGTCAGTTCCGTTAATTCTAGTTACGAGGATTGTGTTGTGCAGGGGTCCAATATTTATTTACAAATTTGTTTCAAGTGTTATTAAATAAATGATATTAAATTATTTCATTCAGTGTAAAATAAATACTTGATAAATATTAATAATATTAATAAATTATAAGTTGTATTGATAAATGATTTACACCCGAAAATAAATTATACGTAATATATTAATATGGTAGTAGATCATCTTTTTGTTGGCGCAAATTTAATGTGAAGAGGTCCATAATTAAATTTCGGCATTGACCGTTGATTTTTTGCTCAAAGTGGTTACAAGATATAAATAAATATTACCGACATTCAAAATATTAAAATTATAACTAAAAAGTATGAATTTGAACCAAAAAGTCATAGCTAAAATGGATCCCATAATTTCAAAAAAGTTATACACTAATTAAATTAAAGTAGAACAAAAGAAATATATAATTTTTATTATTTTTTCGAAACATGGTGAAGCAGACACGTTGACAGAGACGGATCCCATAATTTCAAAACAAATATATTCACTAATTAAATTATAGTAGAACAAAATAAATAAAATCTTTTAAAAAAAATTTTCAAAACACGTCGTGAAGTCTCTTGTATATATAATAATCTATCTATATATCTATCTATATATAATAGGAGAAGAAAAAAGGACACATGTCAGCACCACAAAATTCAAAATTTTAAATTATAAATAATTAAATATTATATAACTAATTAAATATTCTAAATTCAAAATTTGAAATAAAAACACAAGTGTCAAAATCAATTGGTTATAAAACTCCACTTCAAATCAGTTAAAATATTCAAAATTCAATTTAAAAAAATTATATCTAGGTAAGATTTAATATTTTTTAATAAAACTAATTTATACCTTTTTTTAAAAAAAAATGCATTTATATAAACACGGACAAAATGTCATCTATTTTTATATAAAAACGCTGACAAATGTCATCACAAAAAAAAAGTCTATTTTATTTTTATTATCATATAAAAAAATTGCTTTTTAATATCGTATAAAACGGTTTTTTAAATAACTTTTAAATCTGCTTTCTTTTTTTTTGGATGCTGCTTTTTTTTTTAAAAAAAAAGTAGCATTGAAAAAAAAAACTGAATTTGTTTAGCAGATTTCTAAAAAGTGCATAAACGGTTTAAACTCACAAAAAGAGTTTTAAAAATAAATTTTAAATTTCAAAAGAATTCAAACACACGGTTTGCAAATCTCTCTAATTAATGAGTTGAAAAAAACGATTACAGAATTGAAACTATTTATATATATTGGCAAACCATTCTTTCAACTTTCTTTTCTTTCTATCAGTTTTTGTTCTTCTTTTATCTTTGTCTTATTTATATGTATATATTCATTGTTCTTCATTTTTGCTAAAATTGTTCAATCTAAATGTTAAATTTTGATATTTTTTTAGTGCGTTTGTGTGTCACTTCAAAATGTGACAATTTAATATTTGGAAGATTCTTGGGGTATAAAATCAACACTAGAGGTAAGTATTTATAATTTTTTATTTTAGAATTTAACAAGTTTGTTCACCGTATTAATTCATGTCTCTTTTTTTAATATAGATTTTTAATCTTAGCGCAAGAAAAATTTGTCATGATCATAAATTTAATACAAAATTTTAACATATGTTTTTATTTGATTGTATAAACAATCATGAAATGATCTCAATATTTTGTTGAAGTTATCTAAGATTCTATACTATTTTATTAGTATATTTTGAGTTTGTTGGTTTGATGCTTAAGTTTTAATTAGTCGAATAATTAGTGTGTTGATTTTGTTTTTTTGTGATACTTTCTAATAATGAAGTAAGAAACTATTTAAAAATTATAAAAATTATTTTTTAAAAGAGTTACATAATATTTTTAATTATTTGTAATTTGTAATCATATTAAATTCTAAAATTAAGTTTTATTAAAGAATTACTTAAATTTATCGTGATATAACCATTTAAAAAAACATATAAAATTTATATTAACATAACGATTAAAAAATTTAAAATTTAAATGATTCGCTTTAAAATTTTAAAAAATATTTAAATAAAATGTGAATATAAAACTGAATTACTAACTAAATATTATCATTTTTTTTCTAATATTAAACTTTTATTTACAATTTACAATTAGAATTTAAATAGTCGATTTTACAACTTTCCATTACATTTCCACCTATACACGAACTCTTTAAAACTGATTAACAAAAAATTAATAAAATAAAAAATTAGATTTTGTTAAGAATAAAAATAAATTTATTTATTTGCAAATTCACTAAATATGCTTACTAGAAAAGTGTAAATCATGATTTTTTTTACCCCTTTTGAATAGCAACTACAAGGCAAGTTTTTGTCTCCTGTGATGATTAAAATTAATTAATTTATCTCCAATTATTATTGCAGTTATTTTTTTTAATTATTAAGCACAATTTTAAATTTTCGTATGGTAATTTTATGAAGGAATCCTTCAAAAAAGGTAACTGATTAAGAACTTCTTCGCCTAATTATTTTGGATCATACTTTTATCATGAAATTTTTTTCAAAGTAAATTTTTAAAGTATTTATTATTAACAATAGATAATCAAAAAAATTCACCTGCTTAACTTATCCATATTAAAAATTACAATTTTTTTTCAGATAACTTATCCAAAAAAACATGCTCCTAAATCATAGGTGCACAATAAATCATTTATCTCCAACCCAAAATAGCATACATGCAATAGAAAAAAAAATAACAAACATGAAAATTAAATCTCTTTTTTCAAACTTAAATAATTATAAAAATAAATATGGATAGTTTTTTTTAAAAATAATTATAAAAATAAAGATAGATATGTTTTTCTTCAAAAAGTAAAGGCAAAAGAAACTAAGACATGCAGCATATATGCTGGGTTATTCAATTATGAATATGAACAGTACGTATTAGTAAATATATTAATATTAATTTTTAAAAGAATTAATTTAAAAAATAAAATTTATTTATTTTTTAAAAATGGATAACTACAGTTATATAAACTGCATACAAATAATTAAATAACCTCATTAATTTTTAGCATAATAAAGCACTACAAAAAAATATTATGTTGATAAAAATAATAACCATATCTTTTTTTATAAATAACAGAAATATTAATGGGTAGAAAATAATAAGTTATAGTTAAATATTTTCTTTTAAAATAAATAAATTATAGAACGAAGTGATGAAATCATATTATATGTTATTTATTTGAAAAGTAATTTTTTTAAACTATTAGTATACTTAAGATAAATGAACTGTCTTTAACTTTTAGAATATAGAAATCTATCCATAGATTCTTAAAGAAAATTGTACAAAAAGGAACTATTATTTTTCAATTCTAATCTTATACTAATTTAAGGATGTAAAAAATATTTTGAACCTTTTTTATTCAAAGAAAACAATATGCAAAAAAGGTCATTTAATAACATTTCATGTGAAAAGTTTGAACTAATAAATTGTTAATATGAAAATAATAATAATTTATTAATACAACATAAAAATAATACATGACAAACGTGTAAAAGTATTTGAACTATTTTATATTTTCTGAAATTAAATAATTAAAAACTAATATATCCGCGCAACGCACGGGTACGTATACTAGTTTATAATAATATACAAAGATAAGATTAGAGAAAATATATATCCAAGTCAAATTTAGACAATTAATTTTTGTTAAATCTATTCGAGCCAAATTAAGCTAATTTAAATGTGGGGTCCATTAGTACATATGACACCAACACTATGTCATGAATCTTGATGGACAAGTAGTAATTTTCCTTTGTCCTCAAGGAATAAAGAATTGTATGGTATGGTTGACTAAACCAAAACCTCAAGAATTTATATGACATGTTCAACATTAGATGTTAGTTGTGAAAGAAAATGGAAGAGGAAAACAGAGTTACTCTTCATGGAATGTGGGCTAGCCCTTATGTGAAGAGAGTAGAACTAGCTCTAAAAGTAAAAGGAATACCTTATGAGTATGTGGAAGAAGATTTGCTGAACAAAAGTGCATTGCTGCTCAAATACAATCCCATTCACAAGAAAGTACCAATACTTGTTCATAATGGAAACCCAATATCTGAGTCCTCTGTAATTCTCGAATACATTGATGAGACATGGAAGAATGAGTCACCACTATTTCCACAAGATCCTTATCAAAGAGCTAAAATTCGATTCTGGGCTTCATACATCCACCAGGTATTATCAGTAAATTCAACATTTCTTATCTTCTTTCCTCTCAAATACACATTAAACAATGAGATTTTACCCAAATACTAGAAAAAATTATTATTTGGAAATTTTGGATAATTGCCAAAAATATTTGCTAAATAATGACAAATTGTATGGACAAATACTATTTGCCAAATTTCCCCCCAAATATTACTTGGGAAATCTATGGCCAAACGGGTACTTATATCTTGGTGATTTCAATGAACCAACATTACTATTGATACATCCATCTTTTGTATTCCCCTTTCTATTTTTATTCAATCATTATTGAATATTCTAAAGTAACGGTCAAACCTTTTGCATTATGTAAAATCTATTGTTATGTATTTATAAAAAAATAAATTTATTTTTTGGTGTAATCTTTAAATTTCAAGTACGGCAACAAATCAATATTATTTTAATATCATTATATCAACATATTAAATTCAACGCAACTATTCAATATCCTTATATAAACTTTTTAAATTTTTGAGACAATTTTTTTTATTCTAAACATTCTCTTATTTTTTTCATTAAATTTTTTCATTATTTACCTTCTTACTTTCTAAGATTTGCGTACAATCTATTTTCTCGAGACTTCACTCGTAGGATTACTTTGAGTATGTTATATCTATGAAGTTTGACTTTAGGCCCCTAAACTTATTGAGACAACCCTGATAGATGTAATAACTTTATATAACAAAACATAAAATGTACATTATATAAAAAAATGTTATTCGAAATAGTCTAATTAACCTCATGGTCTCCAATACAAGTTTTTGTTTAAGCACAATTAAGAGTAGTAACTTTTAGATGGAGGACAAACTGTCTTATTTTGCATAGTTGGAAGGAAAAATTGAACCATTTTTTATTTTATTTTGGAGCAACTCATGTTAGAGAGAAGGCAATACAAATATTGTTTAGGGAAGAGGTTATCTTGGTTATGTTCTATGTTCAAACATGTCCTTACTATTACATTTTTGTTTCAAAAATGCCTTTAAGTAGCAAAATAGATAAGAAATAGTGCATTAAAATATGATAAACACATCTCATATATTTTTCGATTGTCTAATTATTTGAGATATGGTAATATGTGCGCGCAGGTGTATGATTGCATGCTGAAGGTGTTCAGAGGAGAAGAACAAGACAAAGCATTAGAGGAATTTTACGCGAAATTGAGTGTGCTGGAAGATGGAATTAACAACACCTCACTGGGGATAACAACTAATATGAACAACATAGGTATGCTGGATATTATGATTGTTATTACATTAGGGGCATACAAAGTACAAGAGGAAGTATTTGGTTTTAAGTTATTGGATGCAGAGAAGACGCCATTGTTATACTCATGGGTCACTACTCTAATTGAGTTGCCTATAGTTAAAGGAATCACTCCCCCTCATGACAAGGTGGTTTCATTTCTTCAATATCTCAAAAATAAGGTCTTCAAAGCTACCCCTCATGCCAATTAAGCTTTGTGTTTGTTTATGTCCATCTCAATTCTCTTGTCATGTATTTTGCTCTCTATAATAAGCCCTATGGCCATTGGATTCCCAAAGTTTCTTACATTTTTTATGACCAAGTTATTTTTTTGATGTTTTATCAAATAGTTGGAGAAAAATGACTTTCCTCATTTATAGGCAAAAAATAGTTTTCTTATAATATAAACTTTTGACTTTATATTATTGTTTGCAACATCTTTTTGATTCTGCTCCCTTAAGATTTCTTCATGATTCGAGGGTTTTTAGTGGTGTATTTCTCCATTAAAGGATGTGTGATCTTTTTGAAGTATTTGACTATCAAGAACAGTCCGGCATATCTTGATCTCTTAATGGATATCTCAAGAATTTACGGGATATTTGAAATGTCTTTTCAAGGAAATATAATAGGAAAACTACATAATTACACATACTTCACTTTCGTACATACTATTATTATCTATACTTTCAATTATATGGTCGACCTGAATTATTTCAAGTCCCTAAAGATCAACTAGACTACTTATTACCTCATAATATCCCTGCAAAGTTACACAAGTATAGTTTATCTCTTATCTATTAATTAGAGACAAGAATCCGGGGATACGCTGAGTTGTACTCACAAGTTTGATTAAAATATAATTTTTCTTTATATTTGTTTCGTGATTGCAGTTATTAATTTTTGAACTGATAAATTTGTCTAATTCTTGTAAATTGGCCCCTAAATATCCAAAATGGACTCTGAAAATTGTGAAACTGTACATATTGCTACCCCAACTTCCTACGAGGGTTCCTTAAAAGTTTCACAAAGAAATCATTTTGAGCCATATCACCAAAATATTCATTTTTGAGATTTAAAATGTACCAAGTCTTACAATGGTATTCCTACGCAACTCTTTTCTTCGGATGGACTCAAAGTGGTAGAACCTAGATGTCTTTGTATATTGCTCAAACTCAACAGAAAGGTCATGTAAGCCACTGACTCTTGATCAATAAAGTGCCGAGGACTTGATTTGACAACCATCATAGGATTATAGCTCAAATATCTTTTGCAGAAACCTGAAATGTGATCTGCACCAATCTCAATGATCTTCCTCTTGGGGCAGAGCAGCACTAGGGACTTCAACATAGTTGCTCACCCCTTTTGGTCTCCCCGAGGGCTTTCATCGTTGCTTTTGACCTCTTTGGAGAACCTACAATGCCAGAATAAGGATCAGTATCGGCCAATCAACCACCAGACTGAGTTGGACAAATCCTTGCAGGACTTTACTGGGTCGAGTAGACCAGTCAAATAAGCAGCAAGAACACAACAAACTACCTGCAGCTTTGTAATCTGCTCTCAATGATATTTGGAGTCACAATTGCCTTTTCTTCTCTAAAATATGCTTTATTTCATCCAAACAAAGACATCTATGTCCAGTTCCGATCCGGATAGAAAAGTCAAATTGAATCATATAAGTGAAATCTCCCTTAGTCTGATCTTCTACTCTTTTCTTGTTTGGTTCTAAAGAAACTGAGAAGAAAAGGGTTTGCCATAAAATTTCGACAATCTAAAAAGAAGTATATCCCTCTCCCTAACTATCTTTCCACTTCCCTCATTCGGGAAAAGAAATTTCGCCTCGCTCTTTGCATGTTGGTCCTCCTCACTAACCAATAAGCTTTTGCTACAAAGACTACCTATTGCAGAGAACATCTCTTGACTCACAAGATGGATGTAAGTGATAAGGGATCTTAACCTAAAGACCTCAAAAGTCACAAGGATCTATTAAGCAAGCTCCAGAAAAATTCACACAATTACCATGGAACATGGCTCTTCGATGAGTTACAGCAGCCATTGCAGAAAGTAGTGGATTCCCTGAGTGTCCCTTCTTAGCAGACAATACCTACAATAAAACATAAAATATCAAATATAATTGTTCGTAGCATTTGCAAATGTTCTATATGAAAATTTCCAACTCTGAAGTTTGATGTTCTAGCAGTCAAACAACAACAACATACCTAGTGAAATCCTATAAGTAGGGTCTGGGAGGGTAGCATGTACGTAGAGCTTACCACTACCTCGTGGAGGTAGAAAGGTTGTTTCCAAAAGACCCTCGGCTCAAATGCAGCAATTCTAGATACAAAGAAGGAAATATAGCCAGTTACAAGCAACTGCAACAACAACAACAAAATAGTGCAATAAGCGAAACACAATAAACAACATACTAGGATAGATTATTGAAAACAATAATAAATAATGATGGATATAAAATATAAGAACTACAGTACCAACCACCCTAGACAAGACAACACTACACTACATATAAACATTCTACCCTAATACATGTCATCAACACCTTCCTATCTAAGGTCATGAATAATCTGATCTAGCAGTCAAACATATAAATTTTAGCCAATGGATAATATGCAGCAGAAACCCAGATTTTAGCTTCTAATTCTGCAAGAATAAGAAATTATTCGAGAAAGACTAGTTCAAAAGCTTCACAATTGTGTTGTCCATTTAACATCTATGTCGATCTTAGGCCAGCAGGTATCACAGAACTAGCTGTTGAGCCTTCTATTAAACAAGAATTATGAAGGTGCAAAGTAGGAACGATCTAGGTTCATTTTCCCCCCTGCTATAAGATCTTTCAAAACCAATAGGAGGTGGACCAGTCTAGGTGGGGAGTACAGCAATAACTATATCATCATTCCACCCCCCTCAGCTGATTCATTTGTTTTGAAAGTATTAGAAGAGTACTCCTATAAAGAAATTAGTGCTCTAAACCTATTAACGAATTTTTATACATAATCTAATGCAGAGGGGCATAAAAAAAAAAGGCATTAACAGATGCATCGTACAAACAGAAAAAACAAAGAATTAGCATCAAAACAAAGCACGACTTTTGGACAAACTTCAAAAGAAAATGGAGAAGGAAAACCAAGATGCAAAATGATAGCTATGCTTGATTTCGAAGAGAAGCATACAGAAACCGATTAGGATATTGCATTTAAGAATTTCACAAACTACAACAATGATACATCATTATAGATCAGCTTATGTTAATCTTCAGGCACTGACAAACTGGGTAACTTACCCTTGACAAGACAAGATGAAGGGGTGGATTCATAACTGCAGTTATATTGTTCATGAGTCATAAAACAAGAATCAAATATGTCAAACCAGAAGAAAGGACAAGAATTTCCAACTCTGGTCTTCATATTATGGTAAAAGATAAAAGAAAGTGAAAATGCACTTGCTTTGTCTTTAAATTCTTTTTCATAAAATAGTACCTACGGACAGTCTCTCAACTTTGGTTTTTATTGTTCCTCTCCTATTGCACAGTACAGTGTCATTCAATTCCTCAATACGAATGGAAGGAACATTAACAGCAGTGACCTTGGGCTTACAAACAAGAACATTTTGCAGAGCAGAAGATTATAACCCATGACACACTTTTGTTGTAATCCTCTTTTCCTGACACTATGCAGTTTAAAGAAGAAACATTTATTTCTTTCAGTCATAAAATGAACAGCTTACCAATCTATTACTATCCACAATGCTGTAAGGTTAATTTGTCGGCCTCACACTATTTTCATTTGCATCTGCTTCCTAATTAAAAAGACTAGCATGTTAAAATAACTTGAACAACATTCCCAGAGGCTCTGGAAGTGAACAGACCTTCTGTATCAAGCAAAAGTCAAATTTATGTTTGCAATATTGTTCAGGGCGATTATGCTTTAGTTATTAAATAAGCAGAGTCCTCATATCACAGACCTGAAGATCTGTAAGGAGCTTGATGCAGTTGCCTTTTCCAAGTCTATTAGTTGACAGACATGTTTGACTACTTCTTTTCCATTTTCTTTCATTTTGATGGCAAGCATGGAGGATTCCATGTCATCCAAAATGTGGGTCTTCTGTTTGCAGTCAACATGTTTATCCTGAAAATGAGAGCATTGCCAATTTGATTGGACCATAAATCATCCCTCACCAATAATCTCTGCAAGAGCAAGAACCTTCTTTAAAAGAATGAAACCTGCTTCTGTCTCTAACCACAATCTCTAATCCGTAGACTTTAGATATCAACTTCATAAAACTATGACAATCTTTGCACACCCTCAAATTCTTTACAATTCGTATGGTGCTTCCCTTACATAACCTTGCCATACCAAAAGCAACAGCAAGTTTCTCGCTGTGCTTAGACACGGTATCTTCCTTTTCTTCCTCTTCTATATCATGCAAAACACTGCCTACCTCTGGAATATAACCACCTTTTACTTTAAGTTTTAACATTATCTCACTTAACTTATTATAAGCCTCTTCAGTAATCTCATTTCGTTTATCACCTGCTACAAAACTGTACATGACCTTGTCTATTTCAATCATGCTCCAACCTGGTATTTTCTTCATATTTTTCTCAGCCATTGATCTCCTCACCATGGCAACATCCTTCCATTTCCCAGCAAATGCATAAATGTTGGACAGCAAAACATGGTCACCACAATTGTCTGGATCCAGCTCAGAGAGTCTTTTGTTAACTTGCTCAGCCATTTCAATGTTGCCAAAAAAACTGCAAGCCCCAAGAAGTGTTCGCCAGATAACGGAATTGGGTGGTACTGGCATTTGAACCACAAAATTATATGCCTTACGAAGCTGACCAGCCCTACCATACAAATCAACCATACAACCATAATGCTCAATAGTTGGTTCAATGTCATAAGTTTCTGTCATTTTACTGAATAGCTCATGACCTTGTTCAACTAAACCAGCATGACTACATGCATAAAGTACCGAAATAAAAGTGACCCCATCAGGTCTGGTCCCAGATTCTTCCATCTCATGAAAATATTTTATCACCTCTTCACCATATCCTTGCATTGCAAACCCTGCAATCATAGAAGTCCAAGAAACAATGGTTTTCTTCCCAAGCATTCTCTCAAAGACAAGACGAGCCATCAACACATTCCACACTTGGAGTAAGTATCCAAAAGTGCATTGTTCACAGAAGTTATCCAAACCAACCCCACTTTCTCTATAAATGCATGCAATACCATCCCAAATTTAAACGCCCCAGCTTGAGCACACGCAGATAAAGCACCCGTCAAGCTCACTTCATTCGGCTTACTTCCACTCCCAACCAACTCCCTGAAAACCCGAAGCGCCTCATCAAAGCAACCATTATGAGAAAATCCAACAATCATAGTACTCCAAGAAACATCATCTCTACTTGGCATCTTCAAGAACAACCCCTCTGCACGCTCAAGTTCCCCGGCTTTAGTATACCCAGCCAGCATTACATTCCAAGTAGTCAAATTCCTAAACGGCATTAAACCAAAAACTTTATCTGCACCACTTACATCACTCCCTCGAAAATATGCTGTAAGTATTGCATTCCACGCCACAACATTTGGTTGAGGTATTTGAACAAACACCTTCCAAGCAAACTCAACAAACCCACATTCCGCGTACATACTAATCATTGTAGTTCCAACAAAGAGATGGGTATCAAGCCCACGAGTCATAGCTTGACAATGCAGCTGAAACCCAGTTGTTAAACACCGTAAATTAGCCGCTGCTTTGAGTACAAAAGCAAAGGAGAAACTATCAGGAGGAGAATATGATTGTCGCAGCATGTAAATGAATGAGTTGACTGAATTCTTAGGTGAGTCTGACTGAGATTCACCTCGGATGAGGGTGTTGTACATGAACACATCTGGGTTTGGATTGTGTATGAGCAGACGGCGAGCGTAATCAATAGCATCAGAAATTTGAAGGGCACCAAGAATTACAAGTTTTCCGGCGATTAGTGGGTTGGTCTCAAGGCCGGATTTGTAAACAAAGGCGTGGATTTGGTTGAGGTTTCCAAGTGTTTTGCAGTAGCTTAACAGGGAAAGACACACCTTTTCTGCCCTGCTCATTTTTTCAACATTTCAAAGCTTGAGCCAAAAGAAGGCTACCAAAAGAGTTTTTCTGTTTAATATTATGATTTCTTATTTTTTTTTAAATAAAATAAAATATGTGTCTGGTTGTAAAACTTAAGAATAAAAACAATATAAAGAAGAAGACAAGAAAAATATAAGATAAGAGGAACAATATAAGATAACTTTCTTTTTTTCAAGTGTTTACCAAATTTTCAACTCACACAATATGAACTTTTATGCCTCTATTTATAGTATAACATAGATGCATACAAAATGTTAGTTATAAAAATGACATTAACATGAATATAATTGAGGAGGTTATGAAGGTGAAAGGTTAAAAGAATAATGGTCATAAAGAGGAGGTTATCTTCATAATGGATTAAAGTAATGGAGATAATTAGTCATAGTAACTTCTTGGTGTAGTGGACATCCATATCATAATAAAGGTGGAGGTTATCTTCATAATGGAGGAAAGTAATGAAGATAATTAGTCATAACAACTTCTTGGTGTAGTGGACATCCATACCATAATATTTCATAACACTCCCCCTTGGATGTCCATAGATAATATGTCTCATTAAAACCTTACAAGGAAAAAACCCAGTGGAAAAAAATCCTAGTGAAGGAAAAAGAGTACACATATCTTTTAGTATTGAGCACCGATATGGAGATGAGTTCAGACAACTCACATTCCTCATAAACCATGTATGCATGGGTACAAGATCATACTTTTTAGATGAATCCTAAGTGTCTTCGGGCAGAGCTTATGGATCCACTTAGTTGAGGTGTTCTATACCCCGACAAAGTATAGGACAGTTCGGACAGCGTGGGCGAGACATTGTATCATCACGTAGATCATAGTGATGGTTGTCGGTTAGAGAATCTCCCAAATAGAATTAAAAGTGTATTTTTATTATATCACTTAATATGTTGAGTTCCGAGATGAGTAAGTATTTTTGTAAAGTTTTAATGATTTCACTTTTTATTTCTTTACATTCAGTTGAGTATATATCCATATCTACAATAGTCCTTTCATTCAGTTATTTGTTATTCAACTATATTACATATTCGTACATTCAATGTACTGATGTCATTCAACCTGCATCTTTCAATGATGCAAATACAGGTTCTTAGGTACCTCAACAAGAGTTTGTTGAGAACACTTCATCCGCTCGTCAACTTTCGAGTGAAGTCTCCTTGCTTTCGGAGGACTCCAGTTTTATAAGTTGCTAGTAGTAGTTCTTTTGAGGAGTTATGGGTTTTGTCCCAACACTCATTTTTGTATAGTAGAGGCTTCATAGATAGACAATTTTGGAGAATCTTTCAGTTTCAAATATTTTATTTAAAACTTATGTTTCATACTCAGTATATTCAACAAAGTTTTGAGATTCAGTAAACTATTTTTAAACGTTTCTTTCAATTTGATGCTTATGTGTATGCCTGAGTTAGTCTTCCGCTTGTAGTCAGCCAAGATGAGGGTTCGATGGGGACCAATAATGGTTCTCGAGTGTTGTCCAAGTCCAGGGTGTAGGCTCGGATCGTGACATTATGTTTCTGCAAAGTTATTGTTATAAGTTTCACACACGTTTTCTCTACAGGAATTGTTGAAGGTACAATAAAAAAAATTCCTTAAAAATCTATACAACATCTCTTGAAGACATAATTCAAATTTGGTATGTCATGGTAAGGACATAAAGACCTTAAAAACCTTATCGTGCCTTGTGTACGAAGTGAACCAAGAAAAGAAGACAAGAATTAATAAACTTTTGACATGGCTTCAAGGATGTTGTGTTGGATGACCTATGGAGGAATATGACTAGACTGGAGCCTCTTTTAATCCCAAAGACATAGATAACTATCCAATAAATTAATTGTTCATATTCAATATGAAGTATGGATAGATTCTCAAGTTTACTGCAAGTTGTAAATACTTTTCTTGAAGTAATAGATGTGTTTCTCGACACTGCGATTGAAATAGAAGTGTAGTTTCAAATTGAACTTCATCACTCTGGTATGCTGATTTCTAAAAAGTACCCAAACAAACTGAATATTTTTTGTGTAATATTTTTCCCGTATATATAATAAGTTGAATTGTTGTCTAATATGATACAATCTTCGTTTAATTTTCCATTTTAATAATTTCTTATGATACATTTAAATGGGGGAACTTTAAAATGATATATGTAAACCAAAAGGTATGACTGAACTTTCTACACATTAAAATTAGAATATATATTCACTTTTTTCAACCTTTTTAAATTTATTTATCCCTTCACTAACGATTATTTATTTATTAGAAAATGTAATATCTCAGGTTGATGTTCATTTGAATCTCCAAAAATATCAAATAGTAACACTCCCTGGAAGCAAAAGGATAAATTATAAAATCAAATTAAATATAATTGATTGAAAGATAAATGATAAGATGTTATAATTATCATTTTCGTTTGCATTATTAATGTTTGTTACTACGTTATCTTGCATGTAAGATAATATAGTATTTTAATTTTAATGACACATAAGTTTTAAGTATTGTTTTATAAATTCTGTAATATTAAATTCTCGCCCGAGGCGCGGATAATTTTACTAGTTTAATATATTCATAAAGAGTAACTACTCATAACTCATACCCTTCAATTTTTAGTCTTAATAATTTCATAACTTACAATTGTAGTTTAGATTTCTTTCCCTTTTTGATGTAAATATTTTTTTATTTGGCATGATAAGAATATAAATACTATAAATACTATACATAGAACAATACCATATTAACAATTGTTTATATTTTTCTAGTGTTTTATATTATTATAATTAAATATTTTATTTTATTTATTGTTAATTGTGTTAAAAATAATTGATAGCATATGATGAGAGCTTTTGACATAGCTTTAGAGAGTGGAACATGGTGGTGGATCTACTTACAAAGGAAGTCTTAGAAGACTATTTCTTGAAGCATAATTAGGAATTACTTTTACTAGAGATTTTTTTGTTCTACTTTGACTTGTAATAGTAACTTAGCTACACATATTGACAACATTAGTCATTTGGTCCTCTATAATTCTACTTTTTATTAAAAATCATAATTAATATAATTATCTTATTTCAACCAAAAGAATTATGAGAATAAGTTATATTTTGATTTTTCTCTCAAATAAAATCAAAGATGAAGTAAATTATTATATGATATCATTTCTTATTCGTTTACACATGTAACAATTTGTTTTTGTCGCTATTCTTTTCTTGTCTGAAATGCATTTATAAGTTTTTTCTTTCATTTTTATTACTTTGTGAATATAATAATATAGGTTATTTTTATATGTATTAGCTACATAATTATGAATATACATGTCTATATGTTATTTAATTATGGTCTTTGAGATTGTATTATGACACGTATCTTAGGTATAAAACATAAACATGACCCTTAAATTGGTGTCAGCGGGCAGACCTCTAACTTTGGGTGTGCACAAGTAGACACTTAAACTTGTATAAAATTGAACAAACAGACACATTCGTCCTACATGACACCCTACATGACAATTTTGTATCTTGCGTGGTGTTCTAGGTGTATTATGCCATGTAGGACACATGTGTCTACTTGTTCAATTTTATATAAATTTAAGTGTCTACTTGTGCATACTCAAAGTTGGAGGTCATAGTTGTCCACTGAAGCTAAGTTAAGGCTCATGTTTATGTATTATGCATGTATCTTACGCAATCAAGTTATTTATCTTTTTTCTTATTTTTATGATTTTACCCCTTATATTTCTCGGTCATTTATTTATTTTTACAAATAAAATCAATGCATAACGATTAATGTATTTAATGTCCTAATCTATATATAATATAAAGGAGAAACATAGAAAATGTGATGTGGCACCCCTCTATGGCCTCCATTCATATTTATCTTTTTTCTCCTTTTTTTGAGATTTTTTTCTTAATTCTTTTCATTGAATATTTTATTTATTAAATAAAAATAACTAATCCTATTTACTATTCTAATTTTATCTAATGAGTTACAAAAAACCTCCATCTATTCATATTCTCTACTTAAATAACATGTCTCTTCAACTTATTCTTATGGATTATCAAATCTATAAATTACAATCATCCATGGAGATGTTGAATATTCATTTTTGCATTTTCTCATTCTTTCTTTCTATTAGTATAGTTTTTTTTCTCATTCTTTCTTTCTATTAGTGTAGTTTTTTTCTCATTCTTTCTTTCTAATAATGTAGTTTTTTTTTTTTTAAATAAATTATTCTTCATCTTTTCCATAAGAAATCATAGAAAAGATAGTGACATGATATGTTCTTCACTTTGATGAAGATCAAAGATATATTCTTCAAAGATTCATTATAAAGAGATGTTCACATTAATTTAGTACAAGATCATCAAAATGAAAAAGGAAGTTTAATTATGTTGAAAGATTCATCAAGAGAGATAATCATATTAGTATAAAGTTTGAATGTTTCCAATAATTTAAAGATTCATTAATGTATTGTTTTGATTTCAATATTCTAAATTTTGTCATGCTTGAAAGGTATATTATCTATGGTACATTTCTCATAGCTATTACATATTGTTGTACTTAAAAAATCTATATATAATATAAACTAGATGTTAGAGGAGTGAAGTTGCACCTCTCTTTGGCCAAAGATTCTATTTATCTTTTTTCCTCTTTTTTTTTTGACAATTTTTCATATTTTTCTACTTACTTATTATTGTACAAAAAATAAATATATCAATTACTACTCCTCTATTTATTGGTATACTTAATGTGTGAATGTAATGACCTAATTCCGTCGTTAGGGAAAAGCCAATGGAGAAAGAATTGGGGTCAGAAAATTTTTTGTAGTAACTTGGAATTTCCTAACCTAGTCCAGATTTGGACGAAATCGAAGACAGTAAAGTCTAGGGAAATCTGGTAACAACTGGGTTATTTAATTATGGTTTTGATTACATTAATAGATAGCTAAGACGTTAAGGAGCCCGTACGACTTTACAG